GGCTGGGATTAAACCCCTGGCTGGGATTAAACCCCTGGCTGGGATTAAACCCCATTTTTGGGGTGGTTAAACCCCAAAATCCACCTCATCATCCCGACCCTGCAGCTGCAGGCACAGAGCTCCTTCTCCAAATGCAAAATTCCCCCAGGGCACACAAAGGGGGGTGCTTTAGGAAGTTTTTCCCACATCCTGGAGATGTTTTGCTCCCCAACACCACCCGGGCTGGGGCAGTGTCCCCTGATTGTCCCCCAGAGCTCCTGGCCCCTCTCAGCATCAACAACATAATGGAAACCAGCCCATCCCAGAGAGAAAAACTGGAGCCACTTGGAGGTGAAAAAACCCATTAGTGACTTTACAAACCCGTCCCAGCCTCCACGGGAGCTTTTCATAGCCAGGGAAATAATAATTCCAACCCAGGGGGAGAGGGAACGAAGCTGGGGTCTCCAGGTCCCAAAATATTCGCTGCTCCCGCCGTTCTTCCAGCCATAAAACGGATTTATTAAAAAAAAAATCCCGGGTTTGATTTCATCTGAATTAAAGGGGGATGAGCCCCCCCCGCGCTCCCCACTGAGCCGGGTTTAATATCTCTGAAGCTGTGGGGTCACAGCTGAGTGTGCAGGATGAGAAAGGCGAGGCTGGAAAAGCCCGGCTTTGTTGGCATCAGCAGCGATTTCAATGAACTAAAAACTGGGAATACGTGAGGGCAGAGCTGGCACGGGCAGGTCCTGGCAGGGCAGGATCCTCACCCACGGAAATTAAAAGTTCTGGTGCCCTTCAGTGCACTCACATCACTTTTACCCAGCAGGGATACGAAAAACAATCAAACTTTTGAGCCACAACCATGGAATGAAGCATTTTTTTATTTTTTTTTTTCCTTCATCGTCTTTAATTTCCAAAAAAAATTCCCCTGTTTTTGTTCTTCTGGCTTTTCCCCCTTGGGCACAGAGGGGCTGCTCCCTCTGGAAGTGGGGCTGGGCAGAGCTGTGCCCAGGACACTCCTGGAGAAGTGTTCCCTGCCCTCCTTGGGTTCCCAAAAAACGCCAGCAATTGGTCAAATTCCACATTTTCCTTCCCCACTTACCCTGATCCAGCCCCAGCTGCCTCTCACCCCATTCCCAAACACTCTTTGGAAAGCTGGGATTCCTTTTCCCTGCAAAATTCCACATTTTCCTTCCCCACTTACTCTGATCCAGCCTCTCACCCCATTCCCAAACACTCTGTGGAAGGATGGGATTCTCTTTCCTTGCCACCAAACGCATTAAAAATCACAAATTTCAATCACAAATTAGTCATTAACATGTCAGTCAGACACGGATCTGCCCGAGACTGAAACAACAGCTCCTGCTGGGGAAAATCCATAAATCAGGACAACAATCCCATCACTCCATGATCTTTTAGGACCATCACTCTTTTTAAATTTTATTTTTTTTGCTGTGAAATCTTCTCAGCGGAAAAGAAAATGAAGAGAGGAGGAGAGGACAGAGCTGCGCCCCCCTCCCTGGCCCAGAATCCAATAAAAGATGATTGAATTTCATGTCCTTTCCTCCCCTTGGAATCTCGGCTGGAATAGGGAGCTCAGGAAATGGGGCAGGACGAGTTCCCTCGTGAAACCTTAGAAGGCCGAGCAGGGGGTGCTGCTCTGGTGAGGAGCTGGCCCTGCAGAGCAGAACCTGCTGGAAATGCAGCCCGGACAGAGGGGCTGAGCTCCAGGGGCCGCCCCCAGCCCTCCCCATCCAAGCACGGGAATTTTTCCTGCTCTGCTCCCTCCTGGAGGCTCACACAGAGCCCAGTGTGTGCTTGGGGTGGCCACTTTCCAAAGGAAAAATACGCCATGGATGGTAAAAAAAATTCTTGGTTTTTTAATTTTTTTTTTTTTTAATTGGTGATTTTTAAATTTTTTTTTTCTCGCTTTTTTTGGCCTGCTGTTTGCTAAATAGGGAGTTGGGTTTTCACCCTCCTTAGCAAACAACAAGCCAAAAAAAAGTAGGGAAAAAAAAAAAAAAAGAAATTAAAATCAGCAATAAAATAAAAAAAGAAAAAAAAGATGATTGCATTGTTGGGATGGCTGCTCCAAACCGGTTTGGGGCAGAAATTTAGAGGTTTTGGTTACACTTCCCTGAAAAAGTTTCTGTTTTCGTGGAAAAACATGAGAGAATGAGAAACATTGAGAAAATGAACATGAAAACTTTTTTTTTTAAATCCACTTTTTAGTTATAAAGTTTTAGAAATAAATATTTAAGAACTAGAATTTAGAACCAAATATTCAAGCCCCAAATCTGACTGTTCATGTCTGTCACCAGAGAATTTCCTGTTCCAGCTCGGATTTTCCAGCTGAGCACGGAGCAATATTCCCATTTTCCATGGGGATCTCCATCACTGCAGCTCCCCAGAGCTGATCCTTGCTGCTCCCCGTGGATCCTTCCCCACCTGAGCCCCTGCAATCCCAATTTTGGGAATTCCCAGCAGGGCCATCCCTGTTCCACCATCACTTCCAGCCTGCATTTGTAGAGGAGCAGGTTGGGGGTTCCAGGTGGGAAAAGCACCTGGTGGGAGATCCCGTGGAAAAGGCTCCCAAAGGTGATTTTTTGGGGTGGTTTTTTGGTTTGTTTTTTTTTTTTTGCAGGGTTGCTGAAGGTTCAAGGTGAGAAAACGGTGCCAGGAGCATCACCCGAGTGGAATATTCCAGACAAATCACCGAGATGTTTGCAAAGAGTTTTTCAAACCCAGGAAGAGCCAAATTCCATCCCATTGCTGTTACATAAGATAATTAATGAGAACACAACTCTGGTTATGCAAGAAATGTGGGAGCACCTTCTGCTCCAGTTCCACCTTTAATCACCTTTTCCTCACAGGTAGCTCTGTTTGCTCGGTGTCACCTCAGTAAAACCCAGCCTGAAGCTGGAGTTATTTATTTATTCCACCTGATAAAAGCAGGATATTACTGCCTGTGATAACACAGGGTCATTTTCAGGGAAGCCTCTCTTGGCAAACTTTTAATACAATGAATAACCCGTATCAAATCCCAGATAAAAGCTGTCACATCCCAGCCCCAGCTCAGGCCTGCAAGGGGTTGTAATTAAATTCTGTTTGGGTTTTGGGGTTGTTTGGGTTTTTGTTTGGTTTGTTTTTCGTTTGCTTTTTTTTTTTTTTTTCTTAATTGTTGCTCATAAAAATCAAGGCAGAAAATTAAATTAGTTCAGTGCAATTTAGCACGAGCTTTATTCAAAGGCAAGGCTGAGGGTGGCTGGGTTAAACCCCATTTCTGTTCTGGATTAAACCCCATTTCTGGTGTGGTTAAACCCCATTTCTGTTCTGGATTAAACCTCATTTCAGGTGTGGTTAAACCCCATTTCTGTTCTGGATTAAACCTCATTTCTGGTGTGGTTAAACCCCATTTCTGTTCTGGATTAAACCCCATTTCAGGTGTGGTTAAACCTCACTCCTGATGTGAGTTAAACCCCACTTCTGTTCTGAGTTAAACCCCATTTCTGGTGTGATTAAACCCCATTTCTGGTGGGCCTTGAGCTTGGAACAGTGTGGGCAGCAGGGCTTAGTGGGATGACAATGTCCCATATCCCATGTCCCCTTTTCCTGCAGGGAAGGGTGCAGGAAGAGCTGGGGGCAGCTCTTGGCCCCCAAAACTTCTTCCAGAGCAGGAACCTCCACCCTTTTCCAGATGGGAACAACCCTGGCAGTGCCAGTTTGAGCAATTCCCATTAAATCAATAAAAGGAGCAAAAATACGATGGTCCCAAATCAGAGTGAGCAGTTTGACCCCATCCAGAGGGGTCTCACTGCATGCCAGACCCAAAAATGAGTTTTTTTCCTCCTTCCTGGGGCTGTTCCAGTCCCAGCAGAGCTCCTGGGGCAAACTGGAGGGATGTGGGCTGGGCAGAACCCAGCCCTGCAGGGCTGGAAGAGCCTCTCTGACCCCAAATCACTCCTCCCACCTCGATATTCCACCAGCACGAGCCCGTGGAGAATTGGCCACAAAACTCGAGCTCAGTGGGGTGGTTTTAAAATTAGAAGAGGCCCTGAATGAGCTTTTCCATGAGTTTATCTGGCGAGTTTGGCTTTTTTCCTTTGGATTTCCTGGAGTGCAGCAGAAGTCCTGGTGAGGGGTGGCTTTGAGGCAGGTGAGGTGTCAGAGCCACGTTAAGCCCAGTTTAAACTTTTCCCTGGAGTTAAACCCCAGTGTCAACACGTGCTGCCAGGCAAACATCCAGTCCTAGGGAGAAATCAAATCCTGGGCACATCCCAGGCGAGGCTGGAGGGTTTAACTCCCCAATGCCCAGCCCAGCAGGGTTTTCCCAGCAGATTCCCCACAGCCAGCTCTCTCCCCAGCCATTTGTTTATCCAAGAAACCCCTGGGTGTGAATAATCCCAGGATTTATTTATCCCTGGTGGGCACAAAGCCCAGGGAGCTGCCCCGCAGGGTACACGGTGTCCTGGCCTGGAGCATCCACAGGGAATGTTCTGTTTGCCTTTCCTGCCCGCCAGCCACCCTGGACAGCCCAAAATTCCAAATAACTCCGGGGCAAAACCACGGGATGCTGCTGGTCTGGCCAGGTGGGAGAGGAGAGGGCTCATCCCTCTGCCTCCATCCTCGCCCCAGAGCAGGGATGATGTTCCCCATGGGAAGGGGCACAGCAGGGAGGTCTCTCCCTTCAGGAACTCTTTAAAAAAAACCCCAAAGCCACTTTTTTTTTTTTTTTTTTTTAAAGCCCAGACAGCTCCTGCTCCGAGGACGACGGGACCCTTTGGATGCCAATCCCACATTTTCCTTCCCGGAGGGGATTTTGCAGCTTTCCCTGCTCATCCCAGTGCCTGGAGGAGAGGGGGGGATCCAATCCCCTGCTCCAGCAGTGTCCCTGTGCCATCACCCCCCCTTAACACCCCAACACATTTCAGGCTGAGCTCAGCTAAGCTCAGGATTAGCCCTCCAAGCGCTGTAACTCATCAGCCAATTTTCTGAGAAAAATGCCTTTTTTTTTCCCAGATTGGGCAAAAGAAAGGTTAAAAAACACCATCTGTCATGGTAATTATTTCCCCCCCTATTTCTCTGCCCTTTCCCTCGTTAAGGGGAAGTGGGGAGGGGGAGAATGTTCATTTGAAGCTCGCCCCACGTTTTATTAATTGATGGCAAATAATCCGCAGATAAAGCGCACAATAAATGTTTTAATGAGAACATATGGCAGGGAAAATTGATAGGGGTGAGCCTTTGGAGAGTTCCTGGGGAGCAGAGCCACAAGAGGAGGGGGAAAAGGCTGGGACAGGGAATTCTGAATATTCCTCAATGGGAGAATGAGGAAAAAAGATGGGGGGGGGGGAGCTCTGCTGTCCCCAGGGGTCTGAAGGAATTCCCAAAATTCCAATGGCTCTCAACCTCAGAATTCCCTGTGCCTGCCCCGCTCCCGGGGATGCTCCTGGGGCAGCTGCTCCTGCCCTGGGCAGTGTGAGGAGCCCCAGCATCCCAATCCCAGCTGATCCCAGAGCGGGATTCCAGCGGGATTCCTCTCATTCTTCACACGGACTTTCACCCCCCAAACCAAACAGGGGGGTCAGGGCGCTCTTCCCACGCTTCCCAGCATCCCTTCGGCGACAAGGGATGTCAAGGACTGGCCAGAGGTGACAAAGGTGGCCCTCTGGCCTCGTGAGGTGGCACTGGGGACACTTTGCCAGTCCCGGAAGGGTCAGGAAACAAGGACGAGGCACCCGCTTGATCAGCAAAATGCAAACGAAGCATTTGGGTGCCCCTCACTCCCAAATTCGAGCACAAAAAGAAATCCCATCAAAACATTCCCACCCTGGATCACACACGAGGTTTCCCCCAGATTTGGGGTCTCCAGCACTGGTTTTGCTCTGATTATCCCCAAAATTCCAAGCTGGATTCCCAGCTGGGCTGGAGCTCCCTGTTCCCAAGCAGATCCCAAATTCCCCCAGCAAACCCCCACGTGCACCAAGGGGTTTTCTCTCTGTGACTTTTCTGTTGAGAAAATACAAATTTATGGGGGAAAAGCTAGAGAAGGATCCCAGGGACTGGATTGGAGGCTTTTCCATCTCCCAGACCTGGAGCTGTCCCCTTTGTGAGGGCAGAGCAGAGCCAGGATCAGTTCGGGATCAGTTTTTGTGTCCTCCCCATTCCTGCCCGTGCTCCTGGAGGTCTGGGATCATCAGGGAGAAGCTGGGAAGGCCAAAACTGAGGGAGATTTCACCCTTCACATCCCCCCTCCAGCTGGGAGGGGTCTGAGCCCTGATTTCTCATTTTACCTCCAACGTTTTCCCTGCGTTTTTCCCGGAGAAGTTTCTCAGGGCCCCTTCCAGCCCTGTCCCTGTGCCACCCCACGGATTCTAGGAACTGCACATCCCTGGGCCAGGCTGTGCAACCTCCCCACCTCGCCCTTTTGTGCTTTTTGGGCTCTGTCCAGCCCTCGGCCTGGCCTGGCAGAGGAATTCCAGGGAATATTTGCGTGTCCCCGACCCCAAATGAATGGAGCTGCTGAGCTGAGTGCTGGAGCAGAACCCCACAGGACAATCCCCCCCATTGATGGTGCTGGAGAGGCTCCCAAGCCGAGCCCTCCTGCTCCTCCCGTGGGATGGGTGCAGCCTCTGCTGGGGAATTTTTTCTGGGGGGAAAAGCTGGAATTCCCTGGAAAAGTCATGGGCAGGTTCTGCTGCCAGCTCAGGGAGGGCTGGAGTCTCCTTTGGGGCACCTACCACGGAGCTTGGAGCCCTTTGGGAAAAGGGGATGCACACAATGCTGGAATTCCCTGCTGGAATTGGGAAATGGAAAACTGTGGAGAAGGGAATGCACAGGCTGGA